TTCCGTGAAAACGTTTCAGCTTTTATTTTCCTTTTTCGCCCTGAAGAAGATATCACAGGTTCGTCAGGTTTTTCGAAATTATCCATTCTCGATCACTTTTAGTCCGCTTTGACGAAACTCCTCTCAGCTAGCACGTCTTTTCAAAGTGAAAGCAGCCTTGTCACCTGACCTGAATACAACGCGCTGATTCACTAAAAATGGACTTATCGGCTTCTGTTCTAAAACAACAAGGGTGCTTGTCAGCTTCTGCAGTAAAACGTGAACTCGCGATGCCTTGAAAGTGGACAAAACCGGCTTTTTTGACAAAACGTGTTTAGGGCTCAGATCGCGCTATATGTGGAAAATAATACACGACACTCAGTTAATTTTTTTTTAAAGTGGCTATAATATATATTAGTGGTATCAAACAATTAATCGCATCCAAAATAAAAGTTTTTGTTCACATAGTATATGTGTGTGTACTGTGTATGTTTATTATGTATATTTAAATACACACCCATGCATGTAAATATTTAAGAAAAATATGTTACGTTTATATATTAAATAGATTTATATATAATATAAATTATATGAATATAAATATATACATGTAAATATTTTCAAAATATATACTGTATGTGTGTGCATTTATATATACAAAATATAGACAGTACACACAGATGTATTACGTAAATAACTTTTATTTTGGAAGCGATTAATCGAGATTAATCGTTTGACAGCACTAATTCAATTCAATTCAATTCAAGTTTATTTGTACAGCGCTTTTCACTAATGTATATACAGTATATATATATATATATATATATATATTAGTGCTGTCTAATATATATATATACACACACACACACACACACTGTCAACAGAATATATGTATAGTCAAGATTAAAAAAAGGAAACGACAAAAAAGTGAGTGTGTTAAATGGTAATTATAGATGCTAGGATATATATAATTATTGCATAGCATGGAATTTCATGTTTAATCACACTATATATTTCTGCACAAGATTCTATGGAAATTCTTTTTTGTTTAATTGTTTTTTGTTTTTTTTATTGTAATTGTGACTTCTTAAACAATTCAGGCTTTATTCTCACAAAGTCTGAATCGTGAGATATGCCAAGTTCTGTCATGAAATTCTAGATGGCGCAGGCTGATGGGTCGTTAATGTAAACTGATGATATTCACAGCATTAAACTACTTGGCACAAGCTGTTTGGTTCATGTTGCATTCACAGCCAGGGAGCTTACTGCTTAACATTTAAATGGATGGTTAGTGGTTAGCACGCTTTCAGAGTTCCTCTGAAACCCTCCACCCTCCCCAGCTCCACC